AAGAAGGGATAAGTTATCCTTGCTGAAAAGAATTTTTTGGATCGCACTGTTCTATTCAGTGTCCAGCCCACTTCCCACAGGAAGTTTAAAACTACTTTGATAAACTGGAGAGATGAGTTTACTACCATTGGCCTTAAAGTCCAGTTTTGAGAAGGACTTATATTAAGGAAGGCTTGCTTCAGATGAGACATTGGGGCATTGTGAGCAGACTGATATTACCTATTAAGATCTTAATTGCTAAGCACTTAGATGCTGAAGACATCAAACTATCAGATAGTACTGTGCTCCACTTACTTTTTTCCTTCTGACGTGATTTAGTTGTGAAGTGTCTGCTGTATATAAGCCTGGAAAAAACTCTGTAGGTTGAAACAAAGATGTGATAATTGTAATCCATTTTCATAGTTCAAGATGCTTAATTTAATGTGCTTGATATCATTACATTTTGTGCTGGGAACTTTGAAGAATCCTGAGGATTTCCCACATGTACATTTAACAGTTTCTTTTGAATGATTTAGTAAAGTCAACACAGTTACTTCATTTGGCCTGTGGACAAAACATTTGATTTCAACACCTTGCTGAGGAGAGAACTTACGTATTAATAGTTGCCTAAAGTTGTGGTCTGTGATTCTGATCATTCTTTCTACTAGTGAATTACACAAATAGGTGTGGTATTTATATCTGAAATTTTGCTGAATGCCTGTAATATTTTATGCAAATATTTTATTAATCAAATGGAAGTGCTCCCGCAAAGCTTCATGACACAGATTGACCATCAAGTGAGCTTACAGATGAGTAATCCTCTGACCCAAAATGGCACGTTTTCAGTTAAGATAAGACTGGTAATTTAAGAATGTTTCCTCTTTCCTAGAAGAAATAGTGACTTTTATACAGCAAACAATTGGAGAGGTTCTTAAGCACCCAATAACCTGGTCTGTCTGTCAGCATGGCAGTGAATGTAGATGGTTGCCATTTGACAAAGCTTCCTATGACCATGTACTAACTCTGATTGGATGTGGCAAATGTTCTAAATTGTAGCAGAACTTACAATTACTGTATCTGACAAGAGAAAAAATAGGAACCAGGAACCATAATCAGTTTTGATAGTTGTATGCTAGCTGTTTTCAGGTTGGTGGCAGTCAGTTACGTGTGTAATATTCTCTACCTGGTTTGTAGCTGTAACTGTGATGTACAGATAAAAGCAAAAAAAAAAAAAACCCAAAAAACAAAAAAAAAACCAAAAACCCCACAAAAGATGACAAAAAAACCCCCATGAAACAAAAAACTCCCAATCCTCCTCAACAAGCACCACAAAACAATCTCCCTGCCTCCACGAACTCGTGAAAACAGAAGCAAATAATGCAATGATAGAAGATACACACGTTTGTATTTTTATTCTTATAAGGTTATTTGCTGGCTCTTGTTGGCCTCTAGTTCAGTCTGTGTTATTTAAATTCTAATATATGAATTATTTGGATTGAATTCATGTTCGGGGCCATGGTGTTGTATGTATTGATGTACAGCCTTGAATGTGAATAATTATTGTAAACTATATTTTACACCTTTTTTCTGGCTTTATTATATAAATTTTCTATTGGTCGATGATTTAATCATATCTCATAATTTAACGGCTGTTTACTCTCCTCTTGACAGCTCTCTGTGCTGTAGATGTGTAGTTAGTGACTGGATGATGGATTTCACTGATGCTTGGTGGTCTGTAATAAAGGCATGCAGGGTCCTGGCCTGGCCTCCGCCTC